ACAAGTATAACTATACTAAGGATGCTTACCTTGGAAGAAAGAGAAAATTACTTACCTGTAATTTTTAGTTTCTTAAAAATAATGTCTTTTGGTTCTTCACCAAAGGTTCAGCTTCACTATCTAGGTTTTGGGCCACGTAAGATGGCTACTCACCTGTATCTCCCTCCAAAAATAGTCACTATGTATAGAAATAAACAGATAATGTCAGCTAGTGTCTGGAAGTAATTTTACTAGGCAGCCACATCAAATCTCATGCAAATTAGAAAAACAAGTCAACATGGGAACTTCAGTCACTCATCTTTATCAGTGCAATGTCTTATGTTCAGTAAGCCCCAATCTTGTTGCCCAACCTAGTCTGCATAACGGGCCCCTAAATGAATGACACAATAGGACAGCTGTTAGCTCACCTCTCCCCATCCTGTGTCTAGATCCAGGGACTACTAATCTAAAGGTAGAATCACCATTCCTTTTCTTTCTCATCTACTGCTGCCTGTGCACCAGTGTTTAGTGCTTTTTGAACAGATGCATAGTGAATAAGTTGTGTTTCTGGTTTTTTTAAAGCATATCCCGTCACTGTGTATGTTTTCATTTTATGGACCATTAGAGAAGAGATTTGTTGTGCTGATGAGAGGCAGAGGTCACCCACAAAGCTACAGAAGAAGAGGTTCTTCAAGATGTGTGGTCCTTATTTAGATTCCAAACATGGGTGTGCATGTGTGCCATGTGTCGAACCCGGATCAGTTTTTGTAGCAGTGTGCATTGACTTGCATGTGCACTGTCCACATGCTCACATCTGAGGCTATAAGCGGCCATGAAGTCATTGTTGCTCCAGTATCCCTCTTAACTGTAAGCAAAGTAGTCCATAACAGAGAGTATGGGAAGAGGGGGAGGACTGGAAGCCTAATAGGGACCTCATATCTCAAAGAACCTCTGGCTATCATAAGTAACCTCTTCTAATTCTTCGAGTGATGGTCCATATGTGGATTCCAAACATGACTGATTAGCAAGCAGTGCTCAGCGTGTAGGTAGATGTGAGGTCTCACAAGAAGTGACAGTCTGTAAGATGTCTGCCGCAGTTACTGAGGTAATGGCACAGCAAGTGGTAAAGATGTGGTCACCCAGTAAATGTCTCATGTGGTAAGCTGATGTATCTGCATCCACCCACATGAAGTGACCAAGATGACAGGGGTATGAGAGAAAGAGCGTAGTATTCAGAAATGCAGTGGGAGATGCTCTGTGAGGAGAGGGCTTTACCCTGTACTGTTCAGTAATGGCAGCGAAGTGCCTTGGCAAAACACAAGGGGCACGGGTGTGTTTGAGGTAAATGGTTAGAGCCTGGAGCATGTTGAGAGAATGTAACATTTTGAGGGAAGAGGGGTGGGGTAGAAGATAGGAAAATGGATACTTTGTTTGAGGTGTACTATATCACATTTATCCAATGGATGAAGACAACTCTTTCTTCTTTGTCCATAAACAGAGATACTTGATTTATTCCTACCTCTCAGATTGCTGATTTAGTTTTCCCTCTTAATTTAGCCACAGATATAATTTCTCTTTTGTCTCTACACTATAAACAACTATGTACACTGGAAAAACAGAGAATTTTAGCAATTTGTCTGTCAAACCTAGAGGAAGTGGGAGAGTTTGTGCTCTTTGTTACTCTGTGGGTATGTCTACACAGCAAAGTTATTTCGAAATAACAGTCATTATTTCAAAATAACTTTCCTAGCATCTACACAAGCCAACTGCTATTTTGAAATTAATTCAAAATAGCAGAGGGCTTATTTTGAAATTGGTAAACCTCATTCCACGAGGAATAGCACCAATTTCAAAATTGCTATTTCAAAATAAGCGCTGTGTAGATGCTTATTTTGTAATACGGGGCCTCCAGCCCTTCCGAGGGTACCCTGCTGGCCGCTCTGGCCACAAAGTAACTTCTGTTCTGACCTGATGCCCTGCCGGAACCACTTCTGGCTGGCTTTAAATGCGATTCAGTGTCCAATCAGTGTGGACGTGCTGTTTTTAAATAGCAAAATGCTATTTCTAAATGCATTTTGTGTGTAGACACGTTATTTCGAATTAACTATTTCAAAATTAGATATTTCGAAATAACATGGTAGTATAGACGTACCCTGTGACATTCTTTCCTGGTTAGTTTTATTGCTCACTACCATCTGCTTAGTGTAAACTTGAACAAGGAAAGAGCAGAAATACTACAATGAAAATCATATGTACTGGTGTTGTGTTTATCAGTTTCCTTTTTTCCTCTATTTTAATTTACTCACCTCTCCTAAGGGATTGCTTTTCAGTTGATGAGGTTTTTTTCCAATATATTTCTGTATTTGTTTCCATAAGGTTCATTCAGGCAGGGCTGGCTTTATGTTTTGCCTTTGACAGCTTTTTGTCAGAGGATGTTGTGAGGCCCAAGACTATAACAGGATTTAAAAAAAAGCTAGATCAATTCATAAGGGATAGGTCCATCAGTTGCTGTTAGCTGGGATGGGCAGGGATGGTGTCCCTACCCTGTGTTTGTCAGAAGCTGAGAATGGGTAACGGGGGATGGATCACTGTTCTGTTAATTTGTCCGAGACACTGCCAAAGACAGGATATTGGGCTAAATGGACCTTTGGTCTGACCCAGTATGGCTGTTCTTAAGTTCTTGTCTCCTTGATTCTTGATACCTGAAGCCAAAATGCTTAATGTAAGGACTTGACATTATATAGAACATGGGGGCACATTACAATGGTTTGACCTGCACTCTAAATTCCACATGTATACTTTTTCTGTACTTTCCCCCAACATACAAATTCCACTTCTGTTTAATGCATTTATTTCTTCATGCATCAAGAATAAGATAGCCAGTGAAAGTAGTATTTCTCAAAACAGTTTTGATTATTATAATAGGTGTATGAACATAAGCTTTCGTGGGCTGAAGCCCACGAAAGCTTATGTCCTAATAAATTTGTAGTCTTTAAGGCACCACAGGACTACTTGTTGTTTTTGCTGAAACAAAGTAACACAGCTACTCCTCAAAAATAGGTGTATGCGTAGGCCTAGAAGGACCAGAATTCACTCTATTTTTTTCTGTACGTATATACATAGGTATAATTCTTAATTGTATATAATTTAATTTTGCTATGTACCCTGAACATCTTTCTGATTAGCTGAATCAAAAATCTGTCCTACCTTTTTTAAAAATTACAAACACTATGAAAATGGACTTAAGAATTCAGCTCTAAATCAGTTATATTTTGCAAACATATAGCCAATAGATTTAAGTAAAAGAAAAAAAAAACCTTTCCATTACTGTATCAGTAATATTTTTATGATTAAAAAAATTATTTTTTTCAGGATTTTGGAAGCTGCAAGATGTTCCCACCTGACGGATGCAGGTTTTACACTTCTTGCACGGGTAAGGATTATTTTACATATATACAGTTTACCTAATGGGTGAGGCTTGCTGGTTAAACATTCACATCCCTATCTCAAAGTGTTTTAGCGTGCTGTAGAAGAACCCAACCAGCTTTGGCTGATTTCCTGGGTCACGGTCCCATCAATGACATTGGCAAAGCTGTATCTTGATCATCTGCTCATTTGTTCATTGTTCATTATGTGCTTTCCAAGGTCTCCATGTACAATGTTAAATTTGGAAGAGTGGTGCACTCCTTGTTTAGGTCAACTGCAGAGTCCAATACCCTCCTCCCTCAGACTCCTTTGAGTCACTTAAAGTGAAAGGGACATGTGGAAGCATGCAAAAAAGAAAAGTTCCATACTTGTTCAGGAACTATTGTTCTTTGAGATGTGGTGCACATATTCATTCCACAACCCTCCCTCTTTCTCTTTTGCATCAGAGGCACAACATATACTGGCTTCCAGCATGAAGGAATTTAGAGAAAAGTTGGGGCATTATATACTTTCAGCTAGCAACACAATTGTAGAGATCACAGGTCATGCCTAAAATGGTATGGACATGTGCAATATATCTTAAAGAACAAGAGGTGCTGAACAAATATGTAATATTTTTTATAAAGGCAAAAGCCTGCATAGATATATAAAACAGTGTAATAATTAAATGTTCTTTCTCCCTTTGTCTTTATCTCAGTATTAATGGTTATTCTGTTAGGACCACTCATTAAAATTGAAGATCAGATTGTCACCTCTCTTCTTGTCTGTTTTTTTTGTTTTGTTTCTATTTTATTTGTTTAGAATTGCCACGAACTGGAAAAGATGGACTTAGAAGAGTGTGTATTGGTGAGAATCAGTTTTACAAAGAATATTCATCATAAATCCTTTATAAGAATCTGTAAAGCCTTTCAGAACATCAGTGCTTTAGATTTTTGTTTACCAATATTAGGAATTCTAAATTCTAATATTTTTATAGGAAATGCAGATAATTATTGGGAAGTCTGTAAAAAGGGAAACTTAAAGACAAACATTTATCCATTTCGCAAAAGCCCAATGTATATCAGAAACTTCATCCGCTAGACAGAAATGCCTAATTTTGGTGTAGGGATTGGTTGTGAATCTGTTTGAGATATCAAGTTATAAAAATGAGCAAAGGAACAAAGTGTGGCAGGATTTACTGGAACTTTAAGAAGGTTTACAGAACTCTCTGTTGGGATAAGAGTAGGGTTTTTTCCCCTCTATCTCACTTCTCTAAAAATTGGCAAGGTGAAATGAACCTATCCAAATAGGCTGGTGATCGATTCAGCATGTAGTGCCTGATTTCGTGAAAGCAGCTACATTTTAAGCTCTTTCTCCATCTATTCTGCTAAAATTTTGGAAAAGGAGAAGCTTTTATTTTTTTATCCTTCAGTGGGTTTATAGATCAGAAGAGTCTGAATGGAATAAAATTAAACCCAAGTGTACGTGTTCAGTTGAACAAAATAGATTTTTTTTTCTGCTAGTCAGTTCTATTATTATATATAAGCCCAGACTATAACTTTGCATTTATGTAGCCAATTGTTTGGTTTCTTCCCTTTCCAGATAACAGATAATACATTGATACAACTTTCTGTTCACTGTCCTAAACTTCAAGCATTGGTGAGTTTAACTCTTATAATGTAACTATTAATAAAATATTTTAAAAAGTCCTAACAAAATAAGGATTGACTCGCAGTCTGTAGCTGATAGTTTTTGGTTCTGTGACACTGAACAATTTATACTTTTTTACAAAAGCATGTTTTAAATATGGCATTAAGTACTGTAAGTTTTCTCAAAGCAAACCATGAATTCCAAGATAATCAGAAAACTGGCCTGTGTTGAACCTGTAATTGTCCTCTATTTGTGAGCAATTTAGTCAAAAAAGCGACATAAGACAGTTTCAAATATTTAAATATACATATTTTACATCTAAAGATTTTTTTAAATAATGAAATTTTAATTTACACAACATTTTGAAACATCAGATAATGGTAAATTTGAAAAAAAAAAAAATTAATTACCTAGCAAAGGTGTATTCAGATAGAGCCCAATCTTATAAATAGTCATGTGGGAGTTAATCATATTCAGATGAGTGAAGTGTATGTGTATGTGTATGTGTATGTGTGTGTGTGTGTGTGTGTGTGTGTATGTGTGTGTGTGTGTGTGTGTGTGTGTGTGTGT